TACACTGCTGAGGGGAGCAGCGGGCGGCAGGAGAGGTCTGCGCGCCATGTGGGACCCTCCTCTGGTGTCCGGGGAGCAGCTAGGGATCGAATCGGCGCTGCAGAGGCTGTGGGCAGCGCCACCAGGGAGGCCCTTATTTTATTTTTTTTAAAGATTTATTCATGCATACAAGATTTGGGGTACAGGCCAGAAATGTGGGGGGTGAGAGGATTCACCAGAGACAAAGTGGGGAACAGAACAGGCAGATCGACTGAAATACACTGCTGAGGGAGCAGCGGGCGGGCGAGACAGGAGAGGTCTGCTCCGCCAAGTGGATTTCTCTCTGGCCAGCCGGGGATCAAACTCGCAGCAGAGGCTGTGGATTGCTTCATAGTGGTGCTTAACCCCTTGCACCACCAGGAAGGCCCAGCATACTCAGGTTTTTAAATGCCCTAAGTTTGGAGTATCTGTAATTCCTGTTGCCTCATCTTCAGCTTTAAGAAACCATATTAACATTTTTATGGTCTCTACTATTGTTATAATTTCATATGACAAACACACATGTAAATTATTATCTATTTGACTCTGTGCTACTGGAATTTTTATGCTCTGGATTATCCAAATCCAGTATGGGGGCATTTATGTGATATGAAAAATGCAGCTTAAGGTTTGAAAACTTGCTCAGGAAGGCCAGCTACAGGCATGTATGATTAATTAATTTGTATTTTTCTTTCAGAATATCTTTATGAATGCCAATAATGATAGGCTTATTCTGTTGTCTGTTTAGTTTATTTCTGTCTTTCCCATTAACTTAAAAACCCCCATGAGGGGAGCGGGGTAGGGCTGTCTTACTCATCATTGAGACCATAACAAGCATTCAGTAAATGGTGAATGAACAGATTTCGTTATTTACTACAGGTGTTTTCTGTATTCTAATGCATTAAGTGATCAAAAATATTTGAAAGATTTAAAATTCAAGAGAAAAAATACTTTCTGTGAAAGCTAGAGGTAAAAAACATTTAAAAACTTAAGTATGGCAGATCTTGTCCTTAAGACTACTCCCCTGGGTCTATGTAAGCATTTTTCTTTTTCTTTCTCTTTTCCCTTTATAAACTTACTGTGTGAATAGAGGTATGGGTGAATGGATGGATGATAAAAACTTGAGTATGCCCTACTTAAAATGGATCTAGTGAAACTCAAAATTATATCACTAATTGTATTCAGTCACTTAAATATGCTAGTTAGTTCCAGTCCTCTAACATGACACCTGGTTACGCTGACCAAGCCAGTCATTTGATGAGTAAATTTTTAACATTGAAGTTAACAGTCTTAGGATTAGACAATAATTAATTAGACAATTAGATTAGGTCAATAGATAGTCTGTTGAAATCTCAAGAGTCATAAGATTCTGAAACAATTTTGAGAGCAGAGTTAATTTAAAGTTAATTTTTAGGGCCTCCCCGGTGGCGCAGCGGTTGAGCGCTGGGTTGCGAAGCTGCCCGCGGCCTCTGCGGCGCCGGTTCGATCCCCAGCTGCTCCCCGGCCACCGGAGGAGGGTCCCACATGGCGCGCAGACCTCTCCTGCCGCCCGCTGCTCCCCTCAGCAGTGTACTTCGGTCCTTCTGCCTGCTCTGCTCCCCGCTCTGGCTCTGGTGAATTCTCTCACCCTCCCGCGCTTCTGACTGTACCCAGTGCATGTATAAACAAAACAAACAAACAAACAAATAAATAAAACATGCCTCTATTAAAAAAAAAAAAAAATAAAAAAATAAAAAAAAAAAATAAAGTTAATTTTTAAATGATAATTATACTTCAAAGATTTATTTCTATCTATTTATGCATACAAGACCAGGGCTGTAGGCCAGAGGTAGGGGGATCTGGGGGAGAGGCAATGAGAGGACCTACCAGACTGGGGAACAGAACAGGCAGATGGACTGAAATACACTGCTGAAGGGAGCAGCGGGTGAGACAGGAGAGGTCTGCTGCGCCATATGGGTTAACTCCCTGGCCAGGGATTGAGCCCAGGCCACCACAGATAGCACTGAAACCCAACCCCTATGCAACCAGGGAGGCCCATAATAATTATACTTTTTAGAGAATGGAGACAAAGTAAAATCAAAGTAGGAGATCCTGAGCTGACTCCAGAGATTTTGAATAGTAATTTCTATATAGTAGTTTTATGGTAGCCATAATTTTCACAATTTCTTGTGCTAAAAGTTTGTCTATAAAGATATTTTAAAATATTTTTTTTTTTTTTGGTAATTTTATGGTAACCATATTTTCTTAGGTTTAAGGTGTAGAACCAGCAACCCAGAGGAACCAATATTACTGCTATACAGAGCCCCATCTTTAGTGAAGGGTGTATTGATGACCAAGGTACTGGGCATGGCTGCAGCTCTGGGTTCTAGGCCTCCTCAGGAGCTGAAAGTCGAGGAAAAAGGGAGGTGCCATCCTAGCCTGGAGATGTTCCGCCAGCGCTTCAGGCAATTTGGGTACAATGACACCCCCGGACCACGGGAGGCCCTGAGCCAGCTCCGGGTACTCTGCTGTGAGTGGCTGAGGCCTGAGATCCACACCAAGGAGCAGATCCTGGAGCTGCTGGTGCTGGAGCAGTTCCTCAGCATCCTGCCCCAGGAGTTGAAGGCCTGGGTGCAGGATCACAGCCCGGAGAGTGCTGAAGAGGCCGTCACCCTCCTGGAAGATCTGGAGCAAGAACTGGATGAGCCAGGACAGCAGGTATGCTGGAAGGCTTTAGTCTGTGAGAGTGGGAGGAATGCAGTCGAGGCAGGAGTGGGCTTGTCCATACAATAAGAACGGCTGGGTAGAAGTTTTCACTGAATGACACCAGGCTTCCTCTATTGTTCTTCTATTTAAACTAACCCGTAGCCTTTGGAATTAAAAGGGATGGATGTTTTTCTTTTCTTTTTCCTAGAGATTTTATATAACTCTCCTGAGATTTTCTTTCATGCTAGTCCTTAAATGGACTGTGCATAAACCAGGCCCTGCCTAATTGCTTCCAGGTCTCACCTCCAAACAAACAGAAGCCTGTGTGGGAGGAGATGTCATCTTCAGGAACAGCAAAAGGATCCCCAAGTAGCACACAGACAGAGTCTATAGATACCACTCACAAATACGAATCTTGGGGACCCCTGTACATCCAAGAGACTGGCGAAGAGCAGGATTTCACTGCAGAGCTGAGAAAGATTCAAGGTAGGGACCATCTCTCAGACCTCCACTCAGTGCACCAGGCCTTTCAAGCAGAGTCCCCTCTCCTCTTCAGGTGCGTTTCAGACAGAATCAGAAGATGTGCTCTTAAAGGGTCCCTTAAAGTGAGTTTAATAAAGGAACTGCTTATGGAGGTGTGGACAGGTTGAATGAGCCAGGAAGAGGTAATGCATGTTCATGTTAATGGTTTACAGAATGTTAGCGTCAGCTTTGAATTATATAGAAATTGTCCCTGGTGAATTCTTTCTCAACTTCTGCCTCATTAAGCTACTTTAAACCTAACTTTTATTTATTTTGTTTAATTAATTTTTATTTTTTATTGAGGTAATGTAACTTTATTTTTTAAGGATTTATTTTTATTATACAAGAACTGGGGTGTAAGCCAGAGGTGCGGGGGGTGAGAGGATTCACCAGAGACAGAGTGGGGAGGCAGATCTACTGAAATAATACTGCCGAAGGGAACAGCAAGCAAGACAGGAGAAATCTGCTGCAACATGTGGGTCAGCTCCCCACCAGGGATCGAATCCATGCCCCAGTGGCTGGGATAGCCTGACAGCACTGAAACTTCAACCTCTCACGCCCTTGCTACTTTTATCATCAAGTTATCTATTTCCCACATGTTTATGGCAACTAGAAGGGAAGTCAACTTGAAGGGAAGTCTGCATGTAGCCAAGTGATTGCTCATCATGGGGAAAGAAAGGGATTTTTGCTGCTGTGTCTGCAGTCATCAGCAGGCAGGCAGCTAGTAGGGAGTGGGCCTGGAAGCAGCTGAGTATTGATCTCGGCAGAGAAAGGAAATGGATAGTGGATGGAGAAAGAAAAAGGGGCCTGGAAGAAAGCGCCATGTTGATGAGGCTCCTGTACTCCTGGAGGGTGACGGTTCTCAAAGGGATCCCTTTCCAGAGTGAATTTCTCTTCCTCCCCTTTTCTGTGTATGTGGATGCTTATATGACTTTTAAGAAGTGTGACTGCCTAGTAAGGAATACAGCTTCAGTCTGATTCCAGCAGTAATGTTCCTTTATCACTAGGGTTCTGAGACATTATTATGTATGTTACAGCGTAACAGTTAAACCCTCATTGGAGCTAAGAGCTTTCATTCACATGAAATAAGTCTCTGCGACTAGCATAAATGGACTGAATAACTTCTTTTATTGCCTTTATGTTTAGCTTTTGTGGGAACACAGATTTTGTGAGTTTACCATGAGCCCTTTTCCCCTTAATTACCTTTTTTATTCCTTAATCAACTTTAACCCTTCAGTAATCTTTCTTGCTTATTTCTTTCTGCCCAAGCACATCTCTCATTTCCTTTGCTGTTGCCCTAATATGCTTGGTTTTACCTCATGGCCCTGTATATGGCCCTGTATATTCTTCTCCTGGCAGAAAAGCCACATAGTCATTTTACCAAAGCAGCCTCTTATAGGGGCTTGTGTGAAAGTGGTATGATAAGCTGAGTTGACTTACGTGGATCAATGTGCTGTTGTGACCTGTCATGGGAAGTAATGGGCATCCTTCTAAACCATTTATATGACCTGATGATTGTATTGCCCCTTTAAGTTTCTTCTCAGCAGGAAATAACTGACATGTCGTTATTCTACTTACTGTTTCAGATTGTAAATCGAGCACCCAGAATGAGGAATCAGCAGATAAGCAGGAAAGTTCTGGAGAATCTCATGCAGAAGGATTCCAGAGGGATATTGTTCCCATGAGTACTGCCAGTAAGTGTGAGGCCAGGTTAGAAAGGCAGTGGGTAAACCTTGAAAAGGAAAGAGGAACAAAAACCCCTCTACAAGACACAGGTTCCAAGAAAGGTAGAGAATTAATTTCTACTAAACCAACCCCAGGAGAGAGACGTTACATCTGTGCTGAGTGTGGAAAAGCCTTTAGTAATAGTTCAAATCTTACTAAACACCGGAGAACACACACTGGGGAGAAACCTTACGTATGCACCAAATGTGGGAAAGCTTTCAGCCATAGCTCAAACCTTACCCTTCACTACAGAACACATTTGGTGGACCGGCCCTATGACTGTAAGTGTGGAAAAGCTTTCGGTCAGAGCTCAGACCTCCTTAAACATCAGCGAATGCACACTGAAGAGGCACCATATCAGTGTAAAGATTGTGGAAAAGCTTTCAGTGGCAAAGGCAGTCTCATTCGACACTATCGAATACACACTGGGGAGAAGCCTTACCAGTGCAATGAATGTGGGAAGAGCTTTAGTCAGCACGCAGGTCTTAGTTCTCATCAGAGACTCCATACTGGGGAAAAGCCATATAAATGTAAGGAGTGTGGGAAAGCCTTCAACCACAGCTCCAATTTTAATAAACATCATAGAATTCATACTGGTGAGAAGCCCTATTGGTGTAATAATTGTGGGAAAACCTTCTGTAGTAAGTCAAATCTTTCCAAGCATCAGAGAGTCCACACTGGAGAGGGAGAGGCTCTTTAATTGAAATATGCATTCTGTGTTTTTGTTTTTTAAACTTTAGAATATGAATGATAAGGAGAAGCCCAGTAATTGTGATTTAAACCCTGGTGGTAGATTTTGTTTCACTTGACATCAAGGAATGTCTGAGGAATGAGAGCTCAGGGCTCTGAGCACCTCAGAGCTCAGGACTCTGAGCACCTCAGTAGGAGGGAGGTGCTGGATTTCCTGACAGGTCTGTGGATTCCTCACTCTCCTCCTAGCTGGGGCAGGTTCCCCTCACCACACTTCCAGTCCTATAAATCATGCTGGCACTGCCTTTTGTATAGTGTACCCAGTATAACTAAGGAAGAAACATTAAAACTGTTTAACTGTTTTAACATATATTCAAGAATTATGATTTGTAAAGAATTGAGCCACTTTGAACAAAATTTAATCTGACTGAGAATAAACTCACGACATCTTAGAATGCCTCAGGACTGTTATTATAAGTAGTATATTGGTTATTGAACACTATTCTAGAGAAAGAACTATTCCAGCTGGTTTAACTTTTGGAAAATGTGGATTTGGGGTAAATAGTACTTGTATTACTCGTGAACATATTAGGAAATTGAGCTAAAGTGTGTAGAGTAGCTGCATCTAGATCTACATTGTGGTTATTTTCCCTACATACTGAGTATGGGTTTTCTCCACCACTGGGAACATTTGGTCAGCATCGGTTGATTTTGGTAATGTATGTTCTCTCTCTGCCAAAGTCTGAAAATCTGACTTTAGAAGCTTCCTTCTTCTAAGTTCCAGAAGTCAGTAATATGGCAGTCCATCCTGTCTTTTCCCATCGACTGCAGTCTCTGATGTCTTCAGCTCCTTCTCGCTATCCGATAATGTCTCTTGGCCAGTAGTTCTTCCTGTTTTCTAGAAACCCAACTGTTCTGCTCCATCCTCCTTTCACTCTTTTTCTTCATACTATGACCATTTTTTTTCACCTCTGATTAGGAGTCACTGAGGTCGCCTTTTTGTCTACTGCTGCAGCCAGTTGACAGGCAGACCTGACCTATCAGAATTAGGAACAGCAAGATGTCGTATACCAGTTCTGATCTCTGCGACTGCCCTATATGTTATCCAGGGATCAGATTAAACTACAGGTAATAAGTCTTTATGCACCAACCAGATAGATTAGAGAAAGGCTCATTACTGAAAAAGCATTGTTCTTGAAATTTGAAATGTTCTTAATCAGGCTTCCCAGTGATCTGAATATTCTGCCAGCACCTCAGACATTTCATGTGAGCTATCCTATTTGGATATTTACCATGGTGAATGCCCCTTCAGAATTTAGTAACTGGGCAGCAGCTGATTATCTTTGTATAGTGCCCGTGCTGGAGCTGCTCCAGATGAGGAAAATGAAGCAGGCCTCCTACTTTGGTGAGGTGGATGGGCCCCAGGCTGTGCTGCCTCTTCACTTCCTGACACCTAGCAGTGGGCATTGCTAATAGATGTTGCTATAAGACACAAAGATCTAGGGCCTCCCTGCTGGTTAAATCTTAGTTTGATCACCACTATGGCCCGAGTTCCATACCTGGCCAGAGAGCTGACCCACATGGCACAGCAGACCTGTCTTGTCTCCCCACTCCTACCCTCAGCAGTGTATTTCAGTAGATCTACCTGTTCTGCTCCCCTCTGTGTCTCTGGTGAATCCTCTCACCCCCCACACCTCTGGCCTGCACCCCACTTCTATACACACACACACACACACAAAACCCAAACACAAAGATCTATACGTTGTTTTAGCTCCCATAGGTCTATCTGTCAACCAAAGTCATCCTCAGGTCTTGTCTCCGGACTTTCAGCCTTCTTTGCAGGCCACTTGTGTAGGCAAGTTGTTTGCCATGGCTCAGGAGGCTGTGAAATCCTTAGGTCACTTCTCACTCCACACGCAACTGGTGCCAGACAGATTGCTTCTGCTCTGCTCACCGGATTTCCCTTCATGCTGGTCTGTAGGGCCACTCCTTAGTAAAACCACAGGATTGTGTGTGTTTTCTATGATGGTAATGAAATAACACAAAGAGGTACTTTTTTAAAACAATATAACTTTATATAGATTCAAATTTTAACATGGTCTGACTGGTCTAAAATCAAGGTGATAGCCCCAGTTTGTTCCCTTGTGAAGTTCTTAGAATCAGATTCCCTGCCTTTTCTAGCCTCCAGAGGCTGTATTGCCACTATCCCAATAATGTTCAAGTTACAGAACTATTGCAATAAGCTATATACTTCTACCCATGAGAAGTGAGACTCATAGTAATTGTCATGCTACATCATGTGGGGTGGCCATTACTGCACTTCTTACCAGGCTCCCTTTCTTACCATCCGAAGAATGGCCTTTTTTGGAATCCCATACTGAAAGCACAGTTCCTAGGGCCACTTCCATACCAACTGTCATAATTTGGATTTCCCCCAGAAACAGCCCACGACAAGCATTTGGGGGCAGATAGCTCATGCAAGGAGGTGACTGGAGGGAGTAGAATCGAACACTAGTTGCACAGTAAAAGATCAGACATGATTAATAACTGTCCAGTCTCAGAAGGTGGAAGCAACCAGGCTTGGCTCCAGAATCACTCCTCAACAGTTTGGGGTTAGTCTGAGCCCATGCAATGTTTTATAAAAACATGGCCATTCCTGATTGCTAAATTTTGTTTCTTTGAAGTTTCTTGTAATGAGAACTCTAGTGGTAGTTGGTAGAACTAAATGTCAAATATATAGTCCATACAGACATTTTTTTTTTAAGATTTATTTTTTTATGCATACAAGAATTGGGGTGCAGGCCAGGGGTGGGTGGTGAGAGGATTCACCAGACAGAGTGAGGAGCAGAACAGGTGGATCTACTGAAATACACTGCTGAGGGGAGCAGCAGGAAAGGTCAGCTGTGCCATGTGGGTCAGCTCCCTGCCTGGGGATTGAACTTGTGCTGCAGTGGCTGGCAATAGCTTGATAGTCATATCTTTAACTCCTGCACCATGGGGGAGGCCCCATGAACACATTTTTATCACATGGCAATACAATGGAATCAATCCTGTAGGAGTGTTTCCTCCCACTCCGTTACTGCTCTAAGATCGCCCGAGGAAGGTGGCTCAGCGCTAGGGGTGGTGTGTGTGAGCTTCCCGGCTCTTCCTCCTTCCTTCTCTTTTTCGGACCCGCCTCTCCCAGCCCCTCCCTGCTAAAAGAGCATGAGAACCATCGAGTTGACTAAACCTCCAAAGCCCCAGAGGGACCGAAAGCGAGGGGCGGGGGGTTGGTTACTCCCCAAGCAGGGGTCTTGCCGGAAATGATCGTGGAGCCATTGTTTGTGCTTGTCAGGCAGCCACGCCCGCAGACAGAAAGCCAGTTTGTCCTGCACTTTGAGTGCCCCGAGGCATGTAGAAAAGGGGGTGCTGGCCTGTGGTGCTGTCCGGCCGGGGTCTGACGGGGTGGGGTTGAGGCCTGTGCTTTCAGTGCCAGCGGGCCCCGCCCACCCATGTGGTTGCTGCGGGTGCCTTTGTGCCCGAGCTCTGGGCTGCTTAGGAGACCCCTGGGTTTTATTGATGAATTTTTGCTGGCCAAGGCCCCATCTCCACCCGAACTGAGTTGAGAGTTAGGGCCTGCATTTTAAATATTGAGGTTGAGCCCAGTGGTGGGTCGAGTCATTTAAATCATAATTATCAAGATTCTGAAATAGCAAAATCCAACCTGTGACGAGAAAGTCCTAAAGCCAAATCTGGACCAACTGGGACCGGTTTCAAGACTTTCAGGACTCCTACCTGTCAGATGTTCATGGTTATAAAAATTAGCTCCTAAAACTTGTGTTAGTATGCTTATTTAAAGCCATAATTTTTTTCTAATTTAATGCATGCTGACTTTAAATTAGTAGCAAGGAAATAGCGTTACAAAGTAAACACCCATCATAATTTTATACTTAATATTTGCTGCTGACTCTTAAATTTTTTTTAGTATAATCTATATTATATATATACATAGATAGACGTGTATGCCAGTGATTGTGCTAATGTACTGGGATAATGGGATTATGCTGTTCTGGACTCTGCATTTTCGAAATATAACTGTATCTTGGGCCTTTTTCCATGTCAATGAATACGTAAGAACCAAACATTCTGATGATCACAGGGTTTATTTAGGTATCTTATGGTTAATATTTGGAATTTTCTAATTATTAAAAACACCAATTTGTACATGGTTCTTTGCAGGCTTATAGAAAGAAGCATTTCTGTATGACAAATTCCTAGAAGTGGAGTTGCTTTAAATAGTGTACACTTTTGTGTTGCCAAATTGCCTTCCAAAATATTGAGTCAATTTACACTCCCTCCACAAGTGGCTTGTGCTTAGAAAAGCATCTTGTGCTGAGAAAAGCCTTCCCCATTCTAAAATTATTTAAATTGTACACTAGTAATTTTTAGTGACTTGTGTCCTTGTTTTTCAAAATATTGTGAAATACATTATTGTCTTTTATCTGTATGCTTGAAATAAATGCCTACCACCTATTTTTGCCAAACCTTTCCAGATAAGATTTACAAAGTAATTATTTGTGCAATTCAGGGTACAAGTCAGCAGATGCAGGAGCTTTGAAAGCATTGTTTTTCATCACTTCCTACTCACCATGACTTCACTGATAGTACATCAGTTTCTTCCTACTAGTTGATCTGAGCATTATTTTCATGGGACCTTTTCATCCAGCCATCTATACTAGGATGAACCAGGCAGAAATGGGAGGGAGGGGTTGCAGCAGTATTTCATGTTACTGGCTAAATAATTACATCTTACTGATTCCTTCTGACCCAGCCCCAGTAATTTTGTGACTCCCTGTCTTTGCTTCCACTGTTCCCTTGGTTTGTGCTGCTCTTGCCTCCCCCCTCAAATAGTGAAATCATGTTCACTAGGTGAAATCGTCATCTAGGAGTCCTTCTATCACAGCCCCACCTTAGGCTACACTCCCCTTATCCCAATCAGAAATGTCTTTTTATCTTCCCTGACTACCAGACCCAGCTAAGATCTGCTCTTCCAAAGACTTATTTCTTAACAGACCTTTAGCTTCATAAACTTAAGATAGGATTGTTTGCAAATTCTTGAGATTCTAAGCATTTCCTTATGTTGTCTCAATGAGGTGGTAAATTTTCTTGATAGGAAACTATATACTTTTGCTTGCCCTTATACCATCTAGCACAGATCTGGGAGCACAATCATTTGATAATGCTTGCTGGGGCCTCCCTGGTGGCACAAAAGGTGTAAGTCTCAGCACTATGAACTATCCACAGTCATTGCAGCCCTCTCCTTTCTCGCCCGCTGCTCTCCTCAGCAGTGTATTTCAGTCAATCAGCCTGTTCTGTTCCCCACTTTGTCTGATGAATCCTCTCACCACCCTCCCCAGTTCTTGTATGCATACATAAATAAATCTTTAAAAAAAAAATATGCTTGCTGACCCACTGCTAGAAAAGCCAGAGTAGGCGTGACTACTAAGCCCTTGACCTCAGTGTCCTCATCTGTAAAATGCTCAGGCATCCTGGATCCTATTAAGGCCTCTGAAGGTCCAGGTGGTGGGAGACCTGCATTCCCAGGTAAGAGACTTGAATGGCTATTTTGTCTGACCCCCAGCTGGCTATATTGTCTGATGCAGCTGCAGCACCGATGTCCTCTGGAATTCCAGACCCCTAAAAGGAAACCTTATGTAATTATGCTGTGGGGAAGTCAGTTAAGCCCAGCTAGGCTCTTAGAGGGCATATCAGAGCCATAGACTCTGGAACACTTTAGGACCTTAACATCTAAGCTGGGAGAAAAGATGTGAATGACACTTAAGAGAAAATGCAAGATGGTACAGACTTGTGAGATACCTGAAAGCAGATCCCACCTGTCTGGCGGGAAACCACTAAGATCTCTGGCTGTAACATTTCAGTTTAGTTCCTGTTTCTATTATTCTTAGCTAATGACGTCTGTTCCTAGTTCTGTTATCACAAAGTCCAGTATCTAAAAATAAATGCAAATTATTTGCAAGTTTTGCCTTTAATGGTCTTTTCAAGGCCTGAGCATTTGGGAGAAGCTGGCAGAGAATGTCAATGAGCAGCCCCCAGATTGAACTTCTGGAGAACAGGAATCATTTCATGTATCTTTGGACCCCACCACAGGGCTGTGCCCTGCTCTATAGAAAAATTAGTGGCTGTGTGCTTACGTGATCACATGTGGCTGTGTAACAGGTGAAGTCTGTGGGTGTACATGTACATTTGTCACCAGTGGCCAGGCCTTGAAGATTGTGCCTGGCCTGTTAAACTTCCAGGAGGAAATGCCACTAAACCTCATTAGTTCAGTTCTTCCAGAAACACCTTCATGAAGCCCTGTATGTCTTTCTGGCATTCATGAAGGATCAGAAACTAGAAACCAGAAAATGTTACTTGAAGGTATCCAAATCTGATGAAGAGCTGCTGTCTAGGCCAGTGCTAGGGTCACAGGAATAGAGAAGGTAGGATGGGCTAGACATGCTGACATACTATAGGAGGGATGGAGACGCAAGCCATGCAATCCACAGGTTTTTGGCTTGGCTGGCTGGGAAGCTGGTGATTCCAGTAACTAAAGCAGGGAAGACACAAGGTCAAAGGGGCAGAAAAGGGGCTGATCCTTCATGTAGTGACTTCTTCACCTAGTAATTTTACCTGTTTTAAGGTCTTTTCCAGAGCTATCCATGAACCTCCACATAGATGGCCATGCTCACCCCCACCCCAAACTGTCCTACCTGGAGCCTTCTCTCTTTTACTACAGATCACATCCTCCTAATGTGAGCCCAAACTGATCTCCAGGAAGTTTTCTCCAATCACTTTTCCTTGACCATTTCTTTCTTCTTTGTGTAAACAGTTAGGCTCTCTCCTCAGAAGTCATTTTACAGGTCTGCCCTGGGTCTAAGAAGCAGGCACTACTACTAAGTGGCCTAGTGAGTCTATTATGGATAGTTCATGGACTACAGTTTTGTGAAATTAAGTCACCTGTAAATATGTAGTGATACCAAAGAGCACAATTTTGTTAAGTTTCATTCTAGCTTTAAGAAATTGCAAACTACTAGGTGGTCAATTACAGTATGATTCAAAAATTTTCAGAGACCAAAGTTCCAGATCATGCTCTCATTAGGTTTTCATAACCATAACATCCTCCATTAGCAGTAAAAAAATACAGTCTAAATGTACCCATTGCCACCCAACATCCAAGTACACGCTTGTCAGGGGCCCCATACCCTATACTGTTCTAGTTTTGGTCTCTGCCTTAAGTATCATTCTGTGCAGAATGATATGCAGCACATAAAATCCCACATGTGATTATGAAGGTGGGAGAGACTGTGAGGATGACTGTGGAGTCTGGCAGTACTAGAGGAATACGATGGAGTCCTGAGGGAAAGAGAAATCACATTTGAGTAAGAGAGCAATGGTTGTGTGTAAAGATTCCATCGACAACCAGTTTCCTGTTTAAACTGAAATTAATTTGGCCCCTGCACAAAAACACAATCTTTCCTTCTGAAAAACTATTTTGTTTAATAGTGCACTTCGTTTATGCTACAGGATGAGCAGGATTGGAAAAACATAATGAGAGGTCATCCCCTCAGTTGGGAAAATTCGGGGAGCTCCAGCCTAATTGAGCAAGGAGCCCTGATACCAGCTGCAGGTCACGGCTTTCCTTTTCTGGGATTTGCTCTGTTTGCATTCATACTCGGCCGTTGAAGAGTCAGAGGCAGGGTTAGGAGAGGTCTGGCTGCCAGGACCCAGTGTCATTAGGTTATAGGTGAGAGGGCAAGGCAAGCTGAGTGAACTCCTTAGGAGGATTCTTACCAAGGGGTTTACATTAAGCTGCTTTTCATCACAGGAGTGGCAAAAGGGGAAGAGGAGGTGCCAATGCTAACTACTTCTGATCCTCTCCCTAATGTTATACTCATGGATTCGATGGATTTCCCAAATAGTCCTATCACAACAGAGGAGAGGTCCTCCAACAAAACTGCGCGACTGCTCTTGGAAATGTAGTCTTGCTGCTCCAGGAGCCCTAAACAATAAAATCATCACAGATAACCTCTCTTGGGGTCTACCCTTGACTCCAATAAAATAACAAATCCCTCAACACCAAGTCTTTATAACCAATAAAGTCATGAAACAAAATGCATATCCCTTATCAAACCTTAAAAGCTGGATTAGGAACAGACTCCATTTGAAATACAACCTCCATTCCCCCTCCACAGCAAGTAACAGGTCCCAGAATGTTGTTTCCACTGTCTTTCTGTGCTGACTGTACTGACTCCAGCTACAGGAATCCTTGGAATTTTATTCCTACTGTGCTTCCAACCCCACCGTGGGAAGGATCCTCTGGTCTAGTGCAAACTCCCTTCCAAGATGGAAGGGGGTTGGTCCCAGAGCTTCCCTCTACTCCCAGCACTTGATATGCAACTTGCCTCTCAATTTTTCAAGCTGGTACCATTCCTGGGAAAATTGACTAGGTTGCTAATCAGTATACCAGCACGAATTGCCCAGTATGCCCCATTCTCTAAAGTGAAGGGTTTGAGCTGGAAGGACACATCCTAAGTTGTTCATCCTTGTATAGTAAGGCAGGAGCTCTTTAGACTCAGAGGAAATGAGGAAAATAGGTATGTGGCTCTCTTTCATGTAGACTCTCTGATATTTAATTCAGCAGAGACCCTGAGAGAACTTTTGCTCATGCCCATTACATTCAAAGGCTTCTCTCCAGTGTGAATTCTCTGATGGCGAACAAGAGCTGAGCTGTACCTAAAGGCTTTCCCACACTCACTACATTCATAGGGATTCTCCCCTGTGTGGATTCTTTGATGCTGAATAAGGCCTGAACTATAGGTAAACTTCCCTCCACATTCCATACATTCATAGGGTTTCTCTCCAGTGTGGATTCTCTGGTGTTGATAGAGGTGTGAGCTCTGGCTGAAGGCCTTCCCACACTCATTACATTCATAGGGCTTTTCTCCAGTGTGGATTCTCTGGTGATGAATAAGAGTGGAGCTCCGACTAAAGGCCTTCCCACATTCATTACAAGCATATGGTTTCTCTCCAGTGTGGATTCTCTGATGGTGCGTAAGGGTGGAGCTCCAGCTAAAAGTTTTTCCACACTCATTACATTCGTAAGGTTTCTCCCCAGTGTGGATCCTCCGATGCAGAATGAGAGCAGAGCTGCAACTGAAGGTCTTCCCACAGTCGTTACATTCATAGGGCTTTTCTCCAGTGTGGATTCTCTGATGCTGGATGAGGTGTGAGCTCTGGCTGAAGGCCTTCCCACACTCACTACATTCATAGGGTTTTTCCCCAGTGTGGATTCTCTGATGTTGAATAAGGTCTGAAGTTCGATTAAAGCTCTTGCTACATTCATCACATTTGTGGGGTCTGTCTCCCACAGGATGTCTCTGATGTGAAATAAGGTTGGGACTCACAGTGAAGCTGTTCCCAAAATCATATTTCTCACTTCTCTCCCCCATGGATGTGAGCTTTTTCTCAACTGTCACTGGACCATAACCTGGTATCTTCCTATTCAGTCTTTCCCCAGAGGAGTTCCCCAGCTTCCTCTTTAGACTGACTTCTTGTTCATAGGCTTCTTCAAACTTAAGACCCTTAGAAATGTCCTTTTGGAATCTTCTCAATAGCACCCCATGTGATCCTGCATCTTCAGAAATGTCTTGATCATGCTCAGTTCTGGTCTCACCATCTAGCACAATACAAAATACAAACATCACCTGCTCCTTGTGGAAGACAAAAAGTCAAAACCAGAGCAGGAAAACCATGTAACTAATGTTTAATGGGCAAATCCACACGCTTCTTATCTATCTGCATGCAAAGAGGCTGCCTAAGCTGTGTGCACCTAAGGCAGAGTGAGAGAACTGCATTGAAGAAATAGGAGGGGAGAAAGGAGGCAAAATCCAGGTTAAAAGAACGAGGGTATAGAGAAAGCTGGGTATGTAAGGAGAGGAGGATGGATCAGGGAGAGGCAGGGAACCAAAAATGGAAGAGAAAGGACATGTTTGATGAAGCAACAAAGTCCTCAGAGAGGCCAGAGAATAGAGATATTGCTGGGGAGATGATGATTGCCACTGCAGCTGAAAAATGACAACAGAAAGCAAATACAAGAAAATAAGCATAGACAGGTGTTGACAGAAGTGGGGAAGGGAGCAGAGCAGGAGGAAGTAATCAGGTGAAGCCATAGCGAGCCCTAAGGCCCCAGGCAAAAGGAGCAATCACATGTGCAGTCAGTCATGTGGGCCCAATCTGGGGATGTGGCGCGTGACAGCTGCTCGTCTCCGGGCCCGGGCTATGCTGAGACATGAGCATGTGTATTAACTTTCATGCCTGACCTTTCTGTCTCCATGTCTTTGGGGTTTTTTTCCAACATTTAATTTTTGGGATTGGCTTTGGGTTTCTAAAGGGAACTTTAGGCAGAGAACATAACTGTGAATTGTTCAGAGAGTGAATGTATTTAGTTTGTCAGTATTTTAAAGATAAAGACAGGCCAATGAGAGTAAGGAACAGAGATAGCCATTTTCCCCTCACCTGAACAGGCACCTGTCAGTTCTCATCTCCCTTCAAACCCAGGACCCTCGGCTCTTCCTTTCACTTGATCACTCCAGTTAAGAGATCAGATCAAAATTCAAAATGAGAAGCCTGCTCATGGGGAAAGACATGGAACAAGGAGGTTTATCCTGCTTATACCAAGCAGTCCAGGCCTCAATTCCAGACCCAAGATCTGCAGGGGACAGAAAGGAAATGCACAGGAGGCCTCAAAGGGAGTTAGAAAGACCCGCTGGTACTGCACAGGAAAAAGTTCTCAGTGAGGGCCTCCCTGGTGGCCTGTTTCCGGTAAATCCTCTCACCACCCTCTCCAACACTGCACTTCTGGCCTAAACCCCTGTTCTTCTATGCAAAAAAGTAAGTAAATTCTTAAAAAAAAAAAAAAAAAAGAGGATGTTCTCACTGAGAATGGGAAAGATGAGGAATAGCCCATAAAACAAATGTTAAAATGTGAATTGCTGCTACAAGAAGTTGAAATTTCTGTTAGAGCAGCAGCTGCACCAGGTCCTGCACAAAGCAACTGGTTCATGGAGGTAGTTCAACAGAGAAGGGGAGGAGCTAAAGAGTTCCAGAATGTTCACTCGGGCAGAGAGTAGTACCTTACAGGAACAGAAATCCCAATACGTTAATCTTTTGGGTAAGTCTGGGTTATTAAGTCCTAAGATTAACATAGAAAAAAGTATAAAATTTGGACTTACAAGACCACAGGGTTAGAGTTTTGCCATTCACTAGCTACATGACTTCTTATAAAAGCACATAAAACATTTGGCTTCTCTTTCCTCACCTACAAAATGAGGATAATACTAGCTATCTCCATTGCTTTGTTGCTTTGGGGATCAAGTGAGAGACTAAGTGGGAAAGTTCTTTACCAGCTGCAAAGTACCATTACTATTAGTATTACTGTTAGAACTTTCTGAGACTCAGCCAATACTTAGCTTATTATTTTCAGTGACTCAACTGTTACTAGCCAACAATGAAGCATATAAAGCCAAAGGAGTTATACATTGAGCGAGCGTAACTGCTTACCCAGTGAGAACACATTCCCGTAATTCTCCAGCATCACATCCCTATAGAGGTCCCTCTGAGCAGGCTCCAAACGCTTCCACTCCTTCCGGATGAAGTACACAGCGACATCCTCAAATGTCACCAACTCCTGAAACAAGATATTCTCACATGCGATATCAGGGTGAGAAGCAGGACTGGCAGCGCCAAAGTGTTAGTTGGATGGGGTTGAACAATGCTTATTTGGGAAGTGGGGAATGGGTGGTTTAGGTAGGGAAGAGAAATGAGAGATTGGGACAGACAGTAAAGATGATTATTTAGTAGGAAAGGACATTGTTCTGACGGGAGGAACTGTGGTTTAGGGTACTGAATGGGATGTTACTACACAAAAAATTTCTTGTACATAATGGGATAGAAAGGGAAAAAGGGAACCACAACTCACCTGGGACTTGGCCTTTAAGAGTGCAGCTGCCAACATCTCATCCCCCAAGCTGTCCTTGTTGGAAAATGCAGGAACTTTTGAGGAAGGAAGAGCTGAGGACAATAAAGCATCCATGAATGACTATCTGCTCTCTGATCACCTAACCTCCCGAAAACTCATGGGATCCTGAAACTCCTGCTTACTTCCCTAAGTTCACTTCCTCTCCGGCTACTACAGGTGCTTAAAACAGGCACATTCAGTGTGGGTCCAGCCTGCATGAGGAGACATGTCCAAAGTCCTAGTAATTCATGGTCTCCAAATTTGCCCCTTTCTCTCCAGTCACTGTACTCTCAATGAAATGTGCTCCATTCTACCATTAGTGACATGTGCCTTTGTGTCCGGTCTCCCAGCTTTGCCAGAACCATAGGCCATCCTGTTCATGTGCCTCCCAATCACTCTCCACATCTCTGAACTCAGACTCTTGCATGAAGTTCCTTTTGGCCTCAGGAAAAACAACAGTTTCGCGCAACCCTGCTGAAAACATAACACCCATAGCTCTTCTCTTCCTCTATCCCCAGATACAATTTACAAATCACGAAACACTACAAATGTTTTCTGTTTCCAAGCTTGATCACATATTGTTCTAACTCTTTTAAGATTATAGATTTGTCCCCTGGAGAATCTAAATCCCTAAAGACAAAAAAGTCCTTAAATACTTTTTCTGGTAAGCATGGCAATAATAACCATTAAGACAAAAACTGGCACCAAAGTCAGTGGGACAGTTTATAAAGCAAAATATAAATACCTTGTGGCTTTCCACCTATTTTATCCTTTTGCTGTGACCTGCAAAATAATTCCCTAAAGCCTCCTCTAAAGAGCATCTAAAGAGCACACAGTAGGACTATGAAGCTGACTTAACAGTTACAAAGTATGTATAAAATGGAATTCAGTGACTGTCACAGTTTTCTTAATCCTACATGAGGTACCTACAACCCTCAAAAATACCTCAGCTATAAAAGTGACCAAGCTGTACATTAATGATTGGCTTCAGCCAACCTTCCCCACTAGGCTGTGAGATACTGAATGTGAGGACTGTGACTTATCCATGTCTAGCTCTAGTGGCTAAGCCTAGTGCCTGGTGAATAAGATTCTTCAACATGGGCCTCCCCGGTGGTGCAGCAGGTTAAGCGCAGCACTGTGAAGCTGTCTGCAGCCTCTGCAGTGTGGGTTCGATTCCCAGCTGGCCAGGGAGATTCCCACATGGCATGGCAGACCTCTCCTATCGCACGCACTGCTCCCCTCAGCAGTGTATTTCGGTCGTCTGCCTGTTCTGCTCCCCACTCTGTCTCTGGTGAATCCTCTCACCCTCCCACGCCTCTGACCTGTACCCCAGCTCTTGTATAAAAAATAAATAAATCTTTTAAAAAAAAAAAAAAGATTTTTCAACAGATGTTTTGCTGACCGAATAAGAATGAATGAATCCCATTCCTTACCACCCTCGAGCAGGGCCTGAGGTTCCTGAGATACACAACCAGCCTGAGTTTCCATGGGTGGGCTAGAAGTCCTGGGTCTCTGGTCTCCTATTTGCAGACTCAGCAGAGCACAGATTTTGAATGAAAATAAGGAAGTACTGTAGAAGCAAAAGTTTCAACAGTCAAAAATATTAATTAAAAAAAAAAAACAAAAAAAAAACAGTACCTGAATACAGAAAGAGAAGAACTAGCATTTTAGTTAGTATTCAAGAACAGTAAGAGGAAATGCAGCAATTGGAACTAGTCTTTTATAGTCTGGTGAATATATAGTCCTGTGTCCTTAGCAATGGAGATACATTCTGAGAAATGAGACACTAGGCAATTCTGTTATTGTGTAAAATTATACAAACCTAAAATGTTACAGCTTACCACCCACCAAGGTTACACACAGGGACCACCACTCTAGATACAGTCTGTTGGAAATGTGGTTTTCTGGTGCATTATTCCCTGTAATGTGACTTCCTGTAAGGATCACAAAAAGGGTGCAAGTTCCTCAATATCCCACCTTTGCCCCACCAGCACCCTGAGTGTGTTTATAACAACAGTGCCACATGATGACATGAACAGGATGATACTGGCTTCCAACTCTACATAAACAACTAAAGAAACGAAGAAAAATCAGAAAAATGAGTGTGCACAGATAGATTGTCAAATGTGTATGGATCCCATCAACTGTCATGAATATTTGGGAACATGGATAAGCTAATCATTTACACAGGGGAGAGAGGGGGGAACTCATAAACATTAGAATTGATAGGAGAAAAAAACATACGTAGGTTTCTAGCTACTAAATTTAGGTTTCATGCTTAGAGGAAGAGGGGTCAGGACAGAGCACCCAAATCCCAGACAGCAAAGAAAGTTCACATGAGTTCTGTCCCACTTTAAAAACCGTGAAGAAACAACATCTCTCACAGAACTAGGCCAAAGAGCTCAGAATCTTACCTCCCTTTTCTTTCTAAGACAGTTTTTTGCTTCCAGTGTCAGTCAAAGGTGAGCTATTATACAGGAACTTGGGCCCTTTCCTCGAGCAGATGCATTACAGAGAACAGGTGTATATGTTCACCAGGGTCTAAAAGCCTAGTCCAGGTTGCTTTGTTTCTTCTCATTTATAAGATATCAGACAGCCTGTATTTTATTTCCCTTTATCATAAAATATTTCACTAGATCAGAATGTAAATCCCTGAAATGGGAGTTTTTTAAAAAACCGTAAGATGATTTATTTCTCTGTATTTTATCTCTATTGACATCCTTCTACCCAGTTGCTATGGTAATAAAGAAATCTGTTCTCTTGACTCCAGTGAATAAAAGGCAACATTAATACTTAGATTACGGTTTGGATCTCAAAGTTTCTCCTTCACACCCTAATGCTGGAGGCTGGAGCAAAACTCAACAGACCTAGAACAGGTTAGGAAGCCACCAGGGCATCCTTCCTCAAAGGCAAGGGCAGAAGGAAAACCCCCCCGGGCATTGTCCACCTCTGTTCTTTCTTTATTTGCTCATATAACAAAGTTTTGCTGAGTACCAATTATATTGCAAGGCCCTATAGCAAGACCTGTTTTTTTTTTTTTTTTTTCATACATACATACATACATACAAGCACTGAGTACAGTCAGAAGCACAGGAGGGTGAGAGAATTCACCAGAGTCAGAGCAGGGAACAGAGCAGGCAGAAGGACCGAAGTACACTGCTGAAGGGAGCAGCGGGCGGCAGGAGAGGTCTGCGCTCCATGTGGGACCCTCCTCCGGTGGCCGGGGAGCAGCCGGGATCGAACCAGCACTGCAGAGGCTGCGGGCAGCTTCGCAACCCAGTGCTCAACCGCTGCGCCACCGGGGAGGCCCAGCAAGACCTGTTTTTATTACACTTTTCATTTAAAGTCCACGGTGTTAAGTGAGGATTTACTATATAGAAAGGAACAAAAAAAATCAGGAAAACAAAAAGTATCTGCTTCATCATTACAGATCTTGCATTCACAAAAGACTTAAAAAGGGGAGGAGCTCTATCTGAGAGCTGTGAGATCAGAGTGTGCTAGTCTTTGGCAGCAAGGGGTAACAGAGTGCCAACACAAGTGCCTCCACAGTGAAAGCACTGAATCAGGGGTAAGACCCACTGACAATCACAGTGCCATACCCACTTGCCACCATCACCCTCCCAGCTGGGTCCCTTCAACTCTTTTGTTTCTATCAACCAATTCACAATATCCAGGACTGTTTATAAGTAGACACCCCCAACAAATCAGCTCTTTGTCCAAACCCTCCTCAGAAAGGAAAAGTCAGAGACTCTGACTCCTGAAGAAAAGCAAAGCTCTCTCCTCACAACTGGATTAACCGAAGCTGAAACTCAAAGGCATATTGTTGAGAACAAGTGCCCAGTGTCAGATCAGTAAACAATGTTTCTCATAGAAAGAAAAAAATCTTCACTGTGCGCCCACAGCTTCAGGTCCATGCACAACTTGCCCTGCTCCAATGCCAACCTCTGGCCCAGGATCTGCTCTGGGGACAGAGAGAGGTGACCTGACAGAACAAGTCACAGAAAGCTTTACCTGCTGGACTCCTTCCCTCCTTCAAGTTAGTCCTCAGAAAGCCAGCGTAGCAATTACTGGGAATTTGGTAGCCTCTGTTCAAGTTTCTTGGAATTCTGACTTTAGCTGATGCAAGTGCTGTGTGATTAAGGGGGGGAAAGGGAAATTTTTAGTGTTTATGTAAACTTTACTTCCTAGTCATTTAGAGGTAAGACAAAATGGGGCATATACTAATAAATACCAATTAAAGACCAAAACTGGTAATAACTGCATTGTACCCCTGAAGAGAGCTAAAAAGGAATTGAAGATTATCCAGATCAACCTCTACCCTGTGTAAGAAACCCTTTGTCAAGTTCCTATCTGCTTGTTGATAGCCTGCTAGATACTCAACAACTTCTGCAGCTTAGCATTAGAGAGGTGTCCCGACAGAAAACTGAAAATCTACCCCTGTGGACCTTCACCTCAGAGGCCCAGTGCCCATGAAATGTGACAGAACAGTCTCTTTCTATGCCGCCATCCGTACAATACTTGAAACCAAATGTCACCAACTTATCACAAATTTCTCTTCTTGAGGACAAATACCGTTTCTCTAATCATTCCATAGACTTCCCGTTCATCAGCCTGCTTGTCCTCTGCTTACACGTGCCCACAATGCATAAACACCGGTCTGTGTTCAATGCCACTTCAAAAGTGGATCAAACAAGGTGTCTAACACAAATGAAAATGAGAGCCACAGTTTTGTACCACTCCCCAACCAAGATTCGACTTACTGGGTGCCAGGGGGATTATTCCCGAAATCTGAGTTTGCACTCCCTTCTAGAACGAGTTCTAACTGCGTACACCTCGTACAACTCATTCTCCGATCCTTCTCTTCTGCCTCGGGCACAAATAAATCTGTTAACATCAAATAAAAGCGCCTCCGAGATCTACCAAGTTAGGCTCACTGTCAACATCTGTTTCAGAAGGACGCCTCTACAGTCACATAGGAATTGATGAGAATTAAATAAAACTAAAATTAAAACTGGGACTGGCACCCCGTTAACACCCTAACCACCGGCAATGTTTCCAGTAAGCTGGTGCCCATCCCAACGCTTCAACCACCTACCATATTTGCTTACCCACAGCCTTAATAAAAAGCTTGCTTTCTTTTTTCCCTGAGAACTAAAGTACCCAGCACTTGCTAAACTGAGCAAAAAGAAACCACAAAGCAAAGGAAACTAAAGTATAAAAGCTCGATTCTAGCTCCTGTCACTTTGCAGTCACTGACTTCTGCAGTCTGCCCGACTTCTGGCCTTTCCTCCCTTGGAACGTACTTTCAATAAACTTTGCTTTACTTCTAACCTCTGTGGATTCTTCCACAAACCGCGCCGAGCTAACCTGGACCCCTGTTCACCACAGCGGGAACTTTTAAGTGCTCGCCCCGGACGCTGTTTAAGTCACAAAATCAGAGCCAGGGCCCCTTTCCTTGCCCCCCACTCCCATCCCCCAGCGAAAGCCCCTTTTGGGGGCGGGATGTCCCAGGGGAAAAGGCGTCGGGGACCGCTTCGGGGGAGGGAGCGGAGCCTCCCGGGTCCCTGCTCAGAGCGGGCCTGGGGACCCCGCGGGCCTCGGCGGCACGGACACCACCCCCATCCCGGGCGACCACAGCCTCCGTGTCACCGCGAGCCCCGGGGGCGACCGGACTCACCCTGGGGGCAGGGACGGGAGATTTGGGGGGCCGGACACGGACCAGGCCCCGTTGGACCCTGTCACAGACCTACACACCAGGGACAGAACAAAGAACGGAAGTTCCCCCAGTTTCGCTTCCGGGTCGGCACTGCTCACCACCCACCCCATTCCCGAGCCCCCTCACGCCCACATGTTCTCTCTAGGAACATGGGAGGACTTCGTCTCTCAGTGGTTTGCTGACTCCGGGGTTCGGATCGGTCGCAAGGGCGCAGGGCCCGAGCGCTGACGCGGCACCGCGGGACTTCCGCCCCTGCCGCCGCCGAGTGCGCGTGCGTCCTGCCCACCCGGCCTGGCGGGGCGCCGGCGCGTCGGCCTCAGCGCGCATGCTCGGGGGCTCGCGGCTGGGGGACGCCCTCTCTGGAGACACCGCGGGGCTGGCGGCAGCGTTCTCGAGCCGACGCGCCGCGGACAGGTGTCTTGAAGAATTCATCAGTGTGAAAAATTCACCCTTATTTGAAATTGCCAAAGCAAATATGCATGCGCTTCGTGTACAAATGCACCCTTTAAATGACCACTCTGAGGAAAACATTCCAACCCATCGAGAGAGTTCACACGAAGACACAACCAGTGCAAGGGGTAAAATGCTTGAGGGAGTGAGGATAGCCGCTTGCACGGTGATGCCCTTCCAGGAGGCACTAGTCGGTGTCGGGAATCAAATCCTTACAGATGATAGACCAAAGGGGACTAACACGGGAATCCCGACTCCCCTCTGGTTTGACTTCAGGTTTGGTTTTTTTTTAAGGTTTATTTATTTATACAAGAGCTGGGGTACAGGCCAGATGTGCGAGTGGGTGAGAGGATTCACCAGAGATAGAGCAGACAACAGAACAACCAGACGGACCGAAGACACTGCTGAGGGGAGCAGCAGGTGAGACAGAGGGCGAGTCTGTCGCACCATGTGGGTATCTCCCTGGCTGGCCGTGAATCGAACCCACGCTGCAGAGGCTCCAGACAGCTTCACAGCACTGTGCTCAACCCACTGCAGACCCGGTTTGATTCCAGTTTTACCGCATACACCCGTGGATGTGTATGTGCAGCCACTCAGCTCCTCCAGTGCAACGGCCCTTACTCTTCCGGTAACTTCACTCTGTTAACCAAAGCTAGCAATTAAGTGGGTACCCCTCTCCCTGGGCAGAAAGACAGGAGTCCGAAATCAGCTTTGGTCCTGAAGAAAGTACCCAGGAAAAATGCTGTCTTTGTGAAAAAGCAGCATTTTGGAAACTACTGCCTCCAGACAAATCACTAACTTCAACGAGCATCAACTCCAAACTATGTGACATAGCTAAAACTTCCAGTTCCCAAAAGAGATAATTTGAAATAAGTAGGGTGAACTTTAACAGCCCTCTTTGTTTGGGAAGCTTTCCTAGAACTATCTGGAGGCTATTTTGGGGTTCACATCTTTAGGCTTGATTCTTTAATAAACTCACTTATTTCTGTTTCAGTTTAGTTAATACAAAATCTGTAAGGAGAGAAATTTAAATAACCAATTCCAACAAAATGCGGTATATATTAGGAAAAGATAAGAAAACCCAGGCTCTGTGGGGAGGCAAGATGACTTTCCAAAAGTGATGCAGGGGCCTCCCTGGTGGCCTAGGGGTTAAATCTCAGTGCTTACACCACTATAGCCTGAGGCCTGAGTTCCATCCAGGTCAGGGAACTAACCCACATGGCACAGCAGACCTCTCCTGTCTTGCCTGCTCCTCCCCTCAACAGTGTATTTCGGTAAATATACCTGTTCTGCTCCCCACTACGTCTCTGGTGAGTCCTCTCACCCCCACAACTTCTGTCCTACACTCCAGTTATACTATGCAAAAATAAATAATTTTTTTTTTAAATGATGCAGGCCAGTGAGGGGAGAGAGGAATGTTCTAGGTAGAAGCATCCCATGCAAAGGTCCTGAGGCAATAGAGACCAACGCACAGGTAAGTAACTCGAGGGTGGTCTGCGAAGTGTGGATGTGTGATCCGCCTCCTGTGCTGGACCCAGTGAGACTTTGATCAAATACCACATAAACTCTAGTCCTCCCTCAGAACTGGGCATTTAATCCTTTTTCTTCTGTTAATTCCTTACCCTTCTAATTTTCCACCAGGACTAGAACAGAAATAAAGCGGCAGAGGCAAGAAGAGGGGAGGGTGGAGTTAGAGTAATGCTCCTCCTCAAAGGGGGATTGTTTTTTTTTTGTTGTTGTTGTTTTTTTAAGATTTATTTATTTATTTATACAAGCACTGGGTACAGTCAGAAGCGCGGGAGGGTGAGAGAATTCACCGGAGCCAGAGCGGGAGCAGAGCAGGCAAAAGGACCGAAGTACACTGCTGAGGGGAGCAGCGGGCGGCAGGAGAGGTCTGCGCGCCATGTGGGACCCTCCTCCGGTGGCAGGGAGTAGCTGGGGATTGAACCAGTGCTGCAGAGGCTGCGGGCAGCTTCGCAACCCAGCGCTCAACCGCTGCGCCACCAGGGAGGCCCAAAGGGGGATTGTTTTATAAAAGTTCTTCTGGTGGTCCTCAGTGAACTCTCAGCACCTTCAATACAATCAACTGTAATTACTCTGGTACTGATTAGTCAATTTTCAGTTTACCATTGATCTTTGCCCCAGAACCCACCCACTAAATCCTGGCAACTTTTCAACAGCCATGCCATTGGTGATTATTCTGAGTCTATGGTCTCTCTCCATTGTGCCATGACTCACCCAGGGCAATGCTCAAGGCGGTCCATGGGTGTGGGGAAGAAAATATTTAAAGTTCCATATACCTGTCTAAAAGAAAGGGAAAAAATAGAATTAAAAATGTAAGCTGTGCCAAAAGTCTGTAGAAGCTGGTGGTCTCATGGCTCTATCCAGACTAGCTCTGCAGACAAGCTATGACTACAGTTTTATTTCTTTCCCTACTTATCTGCTTATTTCTGTGAACAGGATTTCTCTACACTTACATCTATGAAAATGGAAATAGAAATAGATTTAATACTTGATTCTTGTAATAAGTTATGTCCAGGAGAAAAACAAGATAGCCCTCTCTCTTACTGAGATAAATTTCCTTTTTTAAAAAAGTATTTATTTATTTATGCATACAAGAACTGGGATGTAGGCCAGAGGTGTGTGTAGGGGGGCTGTCAGTGAGAGGATTCACCAGAGACAGACTGGGGAGCAGAACAGGCAGATCTACTGAAATACACTGCTGAGGGAAGCAGCGAGCATGACTGGAGAGGTCTGCTGCACCATGTGGGTTACCTCCCTGGCCAGGAATTGAACTCGTGCTGCAGTGACTGTGGATAGCTTCATAGTGCTGAGACTTACCCCTTTGTGCCACCAGGGAGGTCCTGATTATTTTGAAGCAAATCCCAGACATAGCATTTGATCCGTAAATATTTTAGTATAGTTGTCTACATAATAAAGTCTCTTAAAACTATAAAAACCAACTATGATACCATTATCACAACTAAAAACATTTAACAATAACTATTCATGTTATTTACCAAACAAGTAATCACAATTCTCTGATTGCCTAAAATTTCTATTTTTTTTTTTTTATAATTCTGTTTGTTTGAATTGGGATCCAAATAAAGTAAACAGCAAGATTAGATGATATGTACTGTATGTTTCTTTTTATCTATGAATTCTTCCTTTGTCTTATTTTTCTTGTGATTTTGTTTAGGAAAAAGCATGTTTACCCTGCAATTTCCCTCACTCCCTGTGATGTCCTCCCTGACATGTTCCTCAGTCCCTTGTATTTCCTATAAATGAGTAGTTAGATCCAGACAACACCCAGAAAAGTTTAATTAATTAAATTTCTATTAACTTATTTAGTGTGGTATATTTAAAATTAAAAAAAAACATGTGCTTGATTTCTTAGTCCTTGTCCCTATAGGGGAAGAGCTTTTAAACTTAAAGTTGGGGTCTCAAGGCTCATAGTGGAGAAATGAAGCTAAAATGATGTTGCGTGGGGCCCCATGTCTTAGCTGCTTCTACACCCAAACGTGCAGCAGAACTGATGGCTATATGCTTGCCCTTTTTCAGTTCTCTTAAGTATTAGGGGAGATTTTCCCATTCTGGGAACCACTGTATGTAGATGGTGAAAGTAGGACATGAAGATCACCCCCCCAAAACCCCCATCCCCTTTTCCCTTCTAAGATGATCTAGTGGAGACCAAGAATGTGTAGAAGAAAAAAAAATGTTTTATTTCAAAACCTTATTATTGTTGGCCTCCCTGGTGGCTCAAGGGGTTAAGCACAGCACTATGAAGCAATCCACAACCTCTGCAGCACAAGTTCAATCCCAGCCGGCCAGGGAGCAACCCACATGGCACAGCAGACCTTTCCTGTCTCGCCCGCCAGCCCCCCTCAGCAGTGTATTTCAGTCAGTCTGCCTGTTCTGTTCCCCACTCTGTCTTTGGTGAGTCCTCTCACCACCACCATCCCCACACCTCTGACCTGTACCCCTGTTCTTGTATGCCAAAATAAAGAAATCTTTTTTAAAAAAAAACAACAAACATTATTGCTGCTGTGGTCTGTCATGTCTCCATGCAACAGTGCCACCTGCTGGACATACTTTTCAGGTACATTTGGTACTGAAGCACTCTCTAGCCTGATACACCCCATCTCCAGGGTGAATCAAGTCTAACCTGAGGATTAGATAGATACACAAGCCTAAAAAGTCCTGCCAGTCACATAGAAATTGTGTGTTTAAGAGCATAGTATGGTCATAGAGGGATTTTTAAAAAAAGATTTATTTATTTATGCATACAAGAGCTGGGGTACAAGCCACAGATGCAGGGAGTAAGAGGATCCACCAGAGACAGAGTGGGGAACAGAACAGGCAGATTAATTGAAATACACTGCTGAGGGGAACAGCGGGCAAGACAGGAGAGGTTTGCTGCACCATGTGGGTTTCTCCCTGGCCGGCTGGGGATCGAACTTGTGCTGCAGAGGCTGCAAATTGCTTCATGGTGCAGTGCTTAACCCCTTGCGCCACCAGGGAGGCCCTCCTAGAGGGGTTTTATATGAAAAAGCAGTAGCTACCACTTTGGGGGAAACCATCTGAAGAAAGAAAAAAAAAAAAGGGAGGCCTCACGTCTCAGAGGTTTTCCTAAATACTTGGATGTGGGGGCCTTGTA